TCTCGGAATTAGAAGCATTCCTTGAAGTCGGGTCAACAAGAGAGTCACCGACAAGGAAACATTTAGAAAAATAATAAGTGTCCTTTCTTCTCTGCCAGATGCCAAGCTAAGAAGCACGCTGCCATTTTTGTTTTGTTTTGCTTTAATTCATTTTTCCCCCAAAGGAGCTCTCATGCTTTAAATTGGTATTCAAAGTATTGTTTCACGCTTAGAATGCTACACTGCCACGCCCACTACTTCCCATGGCTATCTTCCAGAAAGCTCCCATCAACAATTGAAGAGCAGCATTGCCATCTCCACACTTGGCAGACTCTGAGCCTCTACAAGTGGCAATGTGACTGAACTGAGCATAGATAGACAAGCCGGAAGGAAGAAAGGAAGGAAGGAAGAAAGGGAGGGAGGGAGGGAAGGAGGGAGGGAGGGAGGAAGGGAGGAAGGAAGGAAGGAAGGGAGGGAGGGAGGGAGGGAGGGAGGAAGGAAGGAAGGAAGGAAGGAAGGAAGGAAGGAAGGAAGGTGTGTGTTATCCCAAAGCCATTCTTCTTGAGCAATACGGAGTTGGGTGAGTGAAGACAGACAGGCCTTGGGGCCTTTGGTGTTGCTTTAGACAGTATGATCCCAGGATCCCAAGCCTGACCCTGTCATGAGCCAAGCAGAAAGGAACGAATCCTCCTCCCAATTCTGCACACAAATGAGAGAAAGAATCCGGAGTTCCGACATCCGTCAACAATCAAGAATCAGGGACGCTGTCTCGTTTGCCAAGGTGTCAAAAATCAGATGGGCTGACCACGTAATGAGATTTAAAGACGACTGCTGGACTAGAGCTGTTACCGACTGGATTCCATGCAATGTCAAAAGACCGTGTGGCCGCCCACCTACCAGATGGTCAGACTTCTTCATCAAGATCATGAACGATTGGTTTGAGGCTCTTTGTGTTCCTAGAGCGAACAGACACCGTTGGGCTACACTAGCACGTGACAGGGACAAATGTAGACGTTACTGGCACCTGCTCGAGCAAATCAACAATTAACGGGAAGTCAAGTGATCAAGTGATTCTGCACACACCAGTTCTGCATGGACTGGAGAGGCACCCTTGAGCACACCAGACAGCCATGTGTGGAAAGCAGTACAGACGGGTGGAGAGCAATTGCGGGAGGCCCCTGGGGAACCAGAGGTAGCCTGGAAGATGGGAGACCCTTGTACAAAGGCCACAGGATAGTGCCACCTGCTGCTCAGGAGGGTGTCAACAGGCCTCGCTGGGTGATGGCAACATACAGCTCAAGCTCAGCCACTGGGTTCCCTGGACAAAGCGTTACATGGGGCTGGGGGTGTTGGAGGGCTGCAGGTAGCAGGGATGCCAGGGTCTATCTGAGCTACTGCCTGGTAATTATCAAACCTGCCTGTGATCCCCTGGCCTTTGAACCCACACTTGTAGCTACATCAGGACCATTTGGCTGTGACCCTGGAATGTCCTGACCGTGCTGTGTATCTTCTCTCTCGTCCTTGCAGTGCCAGGGATTCTGAAGGACTCCGGGGAACGTCCATGAGTTGCAGGTCACCAAACAGTTGCATCACATCTTCCCAGTGCAGCACTCACTTAGATTTAGGCTCTGAGAGGGGAGAGGTGCAACCGAGAATGCAGCACTTCTCAATATTTTTTTCCTACTTGTAGCCCCTATTTGTGTAATTTTCACCTGTGGTCCCCTGGGAAATATCCTGGACTGAGGAACACTGGCCGAGTGGACCAATGCTTAACATCAACCATCCAGACTTACTAGCCATTCTGCTGGGGATTGAGAGTGTCCACAGGATTTCACTGTCCCTAAGGAAATCATCAGCAACAGTGACCCCTGAGTGGGGCGATCTGAACCGCATACTCCCTGTGTTCATGGTTAGATGTGTCTCTGTGCCAAATGCTCAAGCTTCAGCTGTATTTCCTGGCTCCCTGCCTGATAGTTTACATCAGGCCGTCTACCTGCAGTTTCAAAAAAACTGCATCTCACCCTCCTCTCCATCCACAGATTCAGTATCCTCATGGTTAGATGTAGCAAATTCCACAGACTTCCTCTGAGTTCTTGAACCCTCCTATGTAACTCCACCAAGTTCTGTTCTGTCTACCTCCCTCTGTTTCTCTTCAAGCCCATCCTCACCTCCTGGATCTCCCCTGGGGCTACTAACAGCATTAAACAGAGGGTCCCTCTCAGCCTATCAACTCCTTGGCAGGGAAAAAAGCAAATGACCCAGCAGCCTCCTAGAAATCTCCCTTCCTTAAGGAACAAATAAAACGTGATCCCAGTTGCACGGAAGCTACACCCCCCTCTGTCCTACTGTCCCTGGGGGAAGGTACCCTCCACTCTGCTCTGGAAAACCCTGTTCCAAAGCATTCTCACGCATTCTGCAGATTGCACAGCCCAGCACCCTCCTGAGCTGGCCTCAGTGTGCCTCTGCCACCAGGCCTGCAAGTTCACGTATCTCTGCTCATGCCTTGTTCTGCCTGAGAAACATCAAGCATCTTCCTGTTCCCTCTAGCAGGAGGTCACCTTTGCTCTTTTCCACAGTCCAGTCCAGAGGACACATGAGTTCTAATAACTGGATCATCATATGGTCTCGTTGTTTGCATATGTATACCTCATTAGACTTCATTATTTATGTTATGTGTATCATTGGGCTGGAGCAACAGCACAGAGGGTAGGGCGTTTGCCTTGCATTCAGCCGGCCAGGGCTCGATTCCTCCATCCCTCTCAGAGAGCCCAGCAAGCTACCGAGAATATCCCGCCCGCACGCCAGAGCCTGGCATGCTCCCCGTGGCGTATTCAATATGCCAAAAACAGTAACAACAAGTCTCACAATGGAAACGTTACTGGTGCCCACTCGAGCAAATCGATGAACAACGGGAGGACAGTGCTACAGTGATATGTGTTGCTACAGTGATATGTGTAACATTGAAGAAGCTCATGTGGCCCAACCATCCAAGTCATTGATTTGCCCCTTGTTTCCAGAAGGCACCCTGCTTTCCCTGTCTAAGGGAAATGGTAAGCACTTACTTCAGCTTCATCACTTTTGATTATCTGTATATAGAATATTATCACATCTACATCTATTCCTGTAAGGATTATTTTTTTTTAAATTAGTTTCATATTTTACACAGGATGAAGATACTACACGGTAATCTTTTAGGCAGTTTCCACTAAACGTATAACTCAAATCCTGTCATATTGTTATGAGCATGTCCTTTCTTCATTTTGACTATTGAATAATATTCCCCTGCATGGCAATATTGTGCTGGTATATGCATCATCCTCAGTGAGAGGCAATGGACTTCTCTGCATGTCTTTACTACAGGAACCAGACAGAATATTCTGGTACATTTTTCCTGTGGGACCTATATAGCTGCTTCTCTTGGACACAAATCCAAGAATGAGTTGATCCATGAGATCAGAGTGCAAAAATGTTCAAAGAGGGCAGAACAACAAACCTTTCCCAGAACCATTATATCAGGTCTGACTCCCACTGGCAACGTGAACCACCTTTTCCATTGCTTGGTATTGTTGAACTTTTAAATTTGGGGTTAACCAAACAGGAATAAAAGCTTATCTCCCTGTGGCCTTGACTGACATTTCTGTCCTTATGAAAGTTAATCCTTATCCCCTTATCCCTATATGTTCACTGCCTCTTTGCATTTCCTCCCTGTGATGCTTCAAGGACTCAGCCTAAATGTGCCCATTGCTGCCCCCTTGCCAAAACCCTCACCATGGGAGGATCCCCTCCTACTGATGCACTAGTGGTTCCTTTTTCTATTCTCTGTTGCACCTAGCAATTGGTCTACCTTGTTCACTGATGTGCTCTCTGTCTCTCCTCAACTAAAATACAAGCTCCCAGGACACTGAGGGCCTTTTGTGTGACTTCTCAGTGCCTCGAGCAGAAGAACTGTGTTGAGGACAGCAGGGGCAGAGCTAGCAAAAAGAGATCCAGAGACACTGATCCCCACGCCAGCTCCCCACTTACTCGCTACTAGAAGACCCCATGACTTAAATCATCCGTTTCTCAGCTGACCCGTGAGAAACAGAGTTAACTTTATGGGTCCTTGTGAAGTTTGAGTGAGTTTATCATTGCTTGAAAGAAAAAGTAGAATAGTACCACGGGCATAGCAAGTGCCTGAGTAAAAGTTGGCTGTTGTTATTACTGTGGTACTATGCTCGGGATACTTCTTGGCATGAAAACGCCAGGCCTCAAACCAACCTGAACCTGAGGAACGTTCTCCTCTCCCACATACTCTGAATCCCTGGGTCTTCTGGAGAGGAAAGTAGAGGTAGTGAGACACACCCAGGCCCCTGCTCCCGGAAATGGGGGAGTTGGGGAGGTCACATAGTTAAGAAGATGATCTGCTAGTCCCACACATGAAGACTGTGAAATCACAAATCACAGGCCCGGGAGGTGGTTCCCAAGGCTTGCTGGATAAATAAATGACTCTGAAACCAGCCTCCCATCATCCTCCCCTAGAAGGCACTCTCCACATTCTCTAGGCTCTCCTTTAGTGGGGTTCAGATTTTCCAAGAAAGAAGAAAAAATGGGCGCTTCCCTCTTTCTTGGGTCTGTGGCCAGGGGTATGTCAGAGAAACAGAAATAGGTTGAATAGGACAGGTCAGCAGGGAGCAGGGAGGGAAGGTAACCTGGCTGCAGGGAGAGATGGAGAGATGGGACATTCCGGTCCCCCGTGGCATGGGCTGGCCTCTGGCTCAGCATGTGAGGAACAGAACAGAAGGGAGCTGGAGGGAATCCCTCCCTCCCGCCTGCCAAGCAATTTTTCGGTTGCAGGAATGAGCGGGGGCAGGGAAGAAGAAAGCAGAAAGGCCAGGGAAAGGAGGGGTCAGGCGCCCTGAAAGGGGTAGGAAGGAAAGCCCTAAGCAAACTTCACTGTATGGTGGGGGGCGGAGGGCCGCTCCCCACTCAGCAGGCACCCCCCACCCCACTCAATGTCACCGCAGACGCAGACGCCGGCTTACCTGGTGCCTCCAGCAGACGCTCTGTTCCATCGGGCACCTTCCTCGCCTCCAAGGGCTCAACTGGACCTTGGCGAAGTGCTCCCGGAGGCGGAGGCCAGATGAGATGCCGCCACCGAGAATTCCCGCAGGCTCTCCAGGAGGAACTGCTTCCATTGGCGAAGGATGGGGCGTCCTGGCCGGGAATGACTCTCCGAGTGCCCAATTCGGTGACAGCTCGCCCTCCTCCCCCAAGGAGACCTCACAGCCGCTCCCCCCTCGCCAGCCCCCCGGGGCGCCCAGCACCAGCTGCCGGGAGTCCCGGGGGTCACGCGCGCGCGCTTGGCTGGGAAAAGTGGGGGCGGCCAAACGGCGTTCCCCTGGGGATCCCTGGCCTCCGCTACACCCCGAGGTCGGCTCAAGTGGGGGTCCCCTTTGGAGAATCCAGCTCTGACTGGCCCGCGCCCGGGCTTCAGCAGCGGCCCCGCAAGGGCTGCCCCAGGCGAAGCTGGGGACTCCCTCCTCGTCCTTGGTGGGCAGGGACGCGCCCGGCGGTGGGGGGGAGGGGGGATCTCCCCCTTGAGGCTCAGGGTACTGCCGACCTTGAGGCTACCGTGGGGCGTGCATGCGCCAAAACCTCATGCGCGCGCTCCCCGAAACACACGCACCCCCCCCCCACACACACACACACTCGCACGCCATTCTCCGGGATGCACCCCGAGCCCCACAGGATCCCCAAGACCAAATTTGGGGATGCTTTTAATGCTAAGGCTTGCATGGAAGTCACCGGGCTGGGGAGGGGGGGCGAAGTGTGTGTGTGTGTGTGTGTGTGTGTGTGTGTGTGTGTGTGTGTGTGTGTAGGGGGGGATTGCTCCTCCCCAGCGCCTTAATTTTAAGGCCCCGCAGCTTTTTCGGGGCTCACCACCCCCCTCGCGGCAGGGTCGGGGAAGGGAAAACAGGTCGCCCCCCCCACCCCCCACCGCAGGGAGCTGCGGGGGTTAACGTGCCGGCTTCCCCGCGCCGGGGATCTCCCGCCCGCTCCCCCTGCGAGGGCGCTTCCCGCCCCGCGCTATTTATAGCTCAGCTTCCAGCTGCGGCAGGGAAGCCACCAGCCCCGCTCAGCTCCGCTCTCCCTACACGGGGGATTTTCATAGATTCTGTGAATGGCAGCAATATCTGCAGCCTTCTGGATTTTGGATTTCTACCGTGGAAGGCTGTCTGGCGTCTGTATGCCCTAATTTGAAAAAAAAAAATTTTTTTTTTTGGAGAGGCAAGAGGATTTTTGTGATAAGAGGTGAATTGCAGGCTGGCAGTTGGTCTGAGGGCTTGGGGGAATGGGGGTGGGGATGGAGGGGGTGGGGAGTCTTTTGTTAGCAGATGCCTGGGTACAAGCCATCCTTCCCGCCCCTACTGGCTTCTGCACCTTTTATGTTTTCTGCACCACACACCCTGCTTGGGATTTTGTGTCTTCGTCACCTGGTTAACAATATAGCAACTTCAAGGGGAAATGTAAAAAAAATAAAATCCCATCTTCTGCCATGGCATTGACTGCTTACAGAGTCGCAGGACTGCCTGCCAGGAGAATGCACACTGCCCTGTGTCAAATCCCACACCAATCCCCAAGTTCACCCCCTCCTCCCAATACAGACCCCTAATCCGTTTCCCCCCAATAAAGAACAATTACAGTGCTGGTTGTGAGTTCCCACCCCAGTGGATCCCACTGGTGAGCGCTACCAAAACAACATCTGCAGTGGCCTAAAATAGATGATATCACACCAGTCTTGAAGGTCTCTGCTTCCAGATCTCATCACCCAAATACGCTTCCCGAGTCTCCATACTGTGCAAAGCCCTTGAGAAAAAAAAAAAAACAAAAACAAAAAACAAAAATACAGCAGTACAAAAGAACAGAAATTTTGACCAAGCCTATAGACCCAAGTTAATGGGGATCTGTCCAAGCCTGAAGCCCACTACAGGGACTATCCCAAGGGTTCAAGAATAAAGCATAAAGTGTGCTGTACTATTTCTTGGGCGAGGACCCCGAAATGCAGCAGAACATGAAGGGGATAGGTCTTAGAGCACTCCCCCCTCCCCCGCTGCACCTCAATTCCTGCCCCCTACACCCACCTGATCTGGATGACTCTTGAATTCTGCCATTCACATGCTGGTTCCTTGTTTGGCAAAAGGGAACAGTCCTTGTGAAGAGCTCATGGGTTCTCATGAGTCGAAAAGCAGCAATCTGCATGTATGCTTAGATCAGTGTCTGTTTAAGACTATGCAAGGCTTCACAGGTATCTATCAGTAACATGTAATAAGATATTCAATGTTATTATCATTATTACCATTGCACCAAGATGAGCCAGAATAGGCTGATTTTTTGTGTTGACAAAGGGGCATCAACCTAAAATCTAGTTACCTCTGAAGACCTGCCTTATAATTTGGTTTCCTTTTCCTTGTAAAGTGGGACCCACATACCATGCATGATGTGAACTTGTGTCTCTTCCCCACGTTTTCTTCTTTCAGAGAAAAACAGCTCCATTAATTAGAGAAGTCCTGCAGTTAATCAGGAGAGCAGCATTTACAACAGAAAAGGATCACTCACTGAGGCCTGCCTTCACTGTCTGGAAAGTTCTCTAAATAAAAATAAATAAATAAATAAATTTAAAAAAAAAAAACCACTCACTCCATGATGTTTTCCAAAGAACCCTCTGGGAAAAATATCTGTGTTTACTTGAAAATTCAAAAGTTCCATACGGACTTGTAAATCCTAAAAATTGCACTTTCCCAGGTAGGAACTGGGCCCTGGCTGACAGAACTCCTTGTCAGCCTGGATTGTTAAACTCCCTTTCTCTAGAAGAGAATCCCTGAATTTCAGGCACATGGATGCAAAGGGTCTGCATGTTCAGACTTATGAAACTGTCTCAGAGCTGCTGTGCGGGACTGGTTTGATAGCCTAAGAAGTAGAGCACAGTTTGAGGCCTCACGTGCTTGAGGGCCTAACTCCTATCCCCATTGCCTCAATTCTGCCCCCAGCACCAGTGGTTTAGCCCTCATGGTGCCCAAGCACAAATGGGCATAGTCGTGGTGTGCCCCAATCACAGATGATTCTGGGGACCCTCATACTCCACTGGGGAAAAGGTTTAATAACAAAAAAGGGAGACCATATGGACACTATCAAGACACCTCAAAGATGCTTGGCCATAATAGTTTGGTTCTGCCAACCAAGCACAGCTGAACCTTGTTGCCCAGAGACGCCTGCCCTATAGGATGCTGGGCTGGGACATGACAGACATTTGCACTTAGTGTAGTGGCAAAGTAATGGCCACTTTCGAACTAGCCATGGCAGAGTGGAGCCAGGTTGCAGCACTGACACTGAGTAGAGAGCCGCACATTCATTTTCAGGCCTGACACAGCAGTTGCAACTCAACAACAACTACTGGAAGCCACTACTGCTCCTGAGCTGGCCAAAATGGGTGATAGCTCCATGACTCAGCATGCCCTACCATCAGTTCCTATTGGCCACCAGTAGAATTGTCACTGGAGGTCACAGGGAGTGGTCTCAAATATCAGTGTAGTAGTGCAGGTTCTGTTTCATTCTACTGGGTCCCAGTGAGTCCCAGTTCTCCAGTCACATCTGCATCAGTCCTACAGGGAGAACAAGCAAAAGACACCTGAAAGACAGTCCCGGGGTTTACATGAGCTTGTGTTACATGCTGCAGACCTGGGTTCGACCCCCAGCCCTCCCACTGGGTCCCCAAAGCATGGGAGGAGTGATCCCTGAGCACAGGGCCAGGAGTAAGCCTGGAACATCTCCATGTGTGACCCCAAACTAAAGAAAAAAAGAATAGCACAAAAGGAGGTGCCCCTGAAGAGAATGTCTGCAAGACACCGGTACACAGGAAGCCAGCTAAGCAGGCCCAATGCATCCAGCTGTCCACTAGGAAAACTGGCAGACTGTGGCCATTTCTTCCACATTTCTCCATTCTGGCCTTCTAGAGGTTGCATGAGACCCAACCACTTTATCCAAGAGGTGCTTCCTTGTCAAAGATCCCTGGTTCAGGAGGGGTAGGGCCCTTGCTTTCACTCAGCCAACCCGGGTTCCATCCTGGGTACCCCATATGGTCCCCTGAGCCCACCAGGAGTGATCTTGAGCACAGAGCCAGGAGTAAACCGTGAACACCACTAGGTGTGGCCAAAAAACAAACAAACAAACAAACAAACAAACAACAACAAAGATTCCTGGTTCTAGGCTTTTGGTGTATTTATAAAACACCCTTCCAGCAACGCCAAGGTTAGTATTTGGTTCAATGACTCAGCCTAGGCAAGTGAACACATAAAATGGATGATGAAAAAGTCCATCTTTCCCTCTCAGAAACAACACAGCAGAACCCACATTGCCCAGTCCAGGCCCCCCATTAGGAAACTCTACTTTTCACATCCAATTCCTTTTTCTCTCCCTCCTCCTGGACCTGCTTTTCTGCTCACACTTGCTGAGTCTCATCATCCTTGGCTGTGCCTTCTCTTGACACTGCCTCATTGATTAAAACACAGATGGCAAGGGAAGGCTCCGTGTGGACCTGGGGACAGGAGCCACAGTCCAGGGGTGATGCAGAGGTGAGCTAATGTTGGGATCGGGAGTTCCCTGGCCCTGGGAGGCGCGGAGAGACCAGATAGACACAATTCCTGCAGGAGTAAAAACGGGGTTTATTTAGACCAGCATGCTGGGGCTCCGCAGCATACCCCAGAAATGGGCAGTGGCTGAGAGCCCCGAACTTCTTCAAAGGGGATCTTATATAGGCCTTCACTGGCCGTTACAGCAAAGCCCGCGCATTTCATAGCCAATAGATTTGTAACAACATATACTTTCTTAACCAATCCATTTAAAAGTACCTCACTCCTTAGCCTATAGATTCAAAGATCAGCATTTATGTACATCGATTGTCAGCACAAGCAAGGTTATAGCTGGAATCATTAAGCTTTAGGTAATCTCCCTTGACCATCCTGGTTTTGTGTTACCCAAGTCTGCAGGGTGCTTTAGTGAGACAATACATTCCAGGAAAGGGCAATTTCCCCCAACCACCAGCATCCTGAGTTAGCCTTTACCCAAATCTGCAGGGTGCTTTACTGAGACAATACATTTCAGGGACAGTAAATACACCTGAATCTTGTAGAAAGAAGTTATGCCCTGTTCACTTTGCAAGTCCCCTCTCCCCCAGGTGCAAAGCAGCCAAGCAGTTT